CAGCGATTGATCTTTGCCGGCAAGCAGCTCGAAGACGGCCGCACGTTGAGCGACTACAACATCCAGAAGGAATCGACCTTGCACTTGGTCCTTCGCCTTCGCGGTGGCTTCTAATTCCTCAGCTAATGCACTGATTCAATTTCGGTTGAATTATTGTCTTGTCTGATGTTTGTTGTACTGTCTTACTATAAATGCATCTGCTCGATGAACTCCAGTTGAGAAAAATTGTGGATGGGATCGAGTCGACTCAACTGGGATTGTGGTCAAAGATAGGAATCGCCCAGGACAAACCAGGAACTAAAACTCGATACTAATGTCAAATTCCACCTGAACAAAGTAACCAAAGCTCGTGCCCAAAGACGGATCATCTTCATCTTCTCACATCTGACGTTCAAATATCGCCGGCAAGTTGGCCTTGATCAATGCGTATATGCACAGCGACCAACCCGGCAGCGGCCGTTGTAATCAGACCCTGGACGTTGGGACAACCATTGTGTCGTCATTGAAAACAGTAAGGAGGTGATCTGGGCCCGTGGCGACGTTGGGGCCCTGGCGTGATGAAGCCGCAGCATGTCTGTCGGTTACGCGAAAGAGCAATCGCATACGGATAATTGACCGGATATGCATTTTTTTGAATTTTCAAACCTTATTGCCTGAAGTACACCATGCGGCGCACGACGTTGGGACCGATCTCGTCGTCCCAGCTCAATGCCCAGCAATCAACCAACAACCCATCGCGGCTCCCTGTACTGAAGCCTATTCACCCTCCCGCACCGAATCGGCAATCGCTGAACTCTGGTGGGATGCATCATCGGGCAAGCATATTGAATCGGTCGTCGCTCAGCCGAAACAGCTTGTCGACGCGGATGTCCATGAACGGCACGTCGCGAAACAGTCAGAATGGGTCGAGTCGGCGAAGCAGTACGTTCGGTGGACGGGGAAGCCGTGCAACAGACCCTCGGCCCATCGGCGACAGAAACTTCAATGCCACGTGCATTCGACTCTTGATTGAATTCTTGACGGACCGCCACTACGACCACCCGATCAACCATCAACTCCTCTACAAGCCTATGAAGAAGGATTTTGTCAACATCATGCAGTTCCTATTCCGCGAATTGGATCCGAACTTTGAAGTGTCTGCCAAGATCGAAGAAGATTTTGCGAATTGCTTCCGCACACTGAAATATCCGTTTCCGATCAGCAAAATGGCGCTAGCTGCCGTGGGGAGTCCACATGCATGGCCTCCTCTCCTCGCAGCTATTTCGTGGCTGGTTGAGCTGCTCTCGGTATGCAATCTCGTTTAACCATGCATTCTTCATCTTCGTTTAGTACGACGCGATTGTGCAAGAAGAAGGCTTGAACAATCCCGATCACGGTCACAGACAAAGCGAAGATATGTTTGAGTACATGGCTGTGGCGTACAAATTGTACCTATCCGGGAACGACGATGAGTACGACGAGATCACTCGGCGCATGGAAGACGCCATGGGTACGAAGCATCTCCTCCTTCCCTTGGAAAACTTCCTACCTCGGCATCGCCGTGATCGATGGATACGGAGTAGAGCGGAAGAATATTCAGATTCAGCAAGAAGTCGACGAAGTCGAGCAGGAAAACGAAGCGTTGAGGCGTCAAATTCAAGAGTTGCAAAGTGGACAGGTAACTCCCTCGGCGCACAGCTCTCGATGGAGCCTTGCCGCTTACGAAAAGCGCTTTCTAGTCGCTGGTGAGTTTGAACGCAAGGAAGCGCGACTGTCAAGGAGATGTGGAGAAGCTCCAGACGATTGTCAATACGCATGAAGCGTCGAAGGCAAAAGCGCATGAGGCCATTCGCGTATTTGAGCAACGCTTGGCGAAACGACGTAAGTTTTTGACCATTTCGATATGATTTCCAAGCAAGAAATGGGTGTTCGTGAGTAGAAATGGTGTTCCAGATGCAGCACGCCACGATGGCCGAGCTGCAGCGTCGAATCGACACACAAGAACTGTCGTCTGACGATCTCGAGCGCATTACGGCTGAGCGCGCCCGCCTCCAAGAGCAACTCAACAACACGGAGAAGCGCTACAAAAACATTCAGTCGAGCCACTGGCAAAGAGAGACAGAGATATCCCAGCACATGGACCGCATTGAAGACCTTGTCAATGTTTACATGACGTTCTGCCGACGGCTCAAACTCGACGAACGCAAAGACGCCAACGGGGTCGAGTATGCGATACAGATTGACGCGCATTCCGGCGGCGCCAAAGCGGCGGCAGCGTTGACGCAGCACTTGAAGAAGACAATCGTCCCGAGTTTGCAAGCGTTTCAACGGCAGCGCACGGACCGACTGATTCGTATCTTGGACAAGGGTGGAGAGGCCAAGGTTCGCATCAGCCAGGCCACTTCCAACATGAACCAGGCGGTCGAGGCCGCTCGGCAGATCGATTTGCAAGAACGCAAGCTCGACGAATCGATTCGTCTGGAGAGGGGGGTACGAGATGGGGTGGTTGTCGGTGGACTGAATGAAAACGTAGGCGATGAACGCTGCAATAGACCAGAAATCTGGCGAGATTGTAGAACTCGAGCTCGAATTGGAGAGGCTGAAAGCACAAGATGCTGCGTCCGGCATGGGCAAGGCCGACAAGCTCCTCCGCGATACAAAGATCGAGCACGACGAAATGACCAACCAGTACAAGCAAGAAATTGAATCGAGACTGCGCTTCATCCAACACGCCATCGCACTGTGCGTGGCCTTCAAGGAGCACATGGCCAAACAAATGGCCGACACCGAGGAGTACGTGAAAAGCCAGCGTGACTTGCTAAATTAGGAGTTAATGATGCTATATATTTTTCAAGCCTCGATGAACCCCTCAAGCTATTTGTCGAATAAAAATGTATTTCCCCGGTACGATGCCAGGATACGTGGAGCTCGTTCCAAAGTTGTGGTTTCGACGCCGTGATCTGCTGTTGTGCTGTGACCCATCTGCGTCCTCGTAAAACCATCTGAGAGTGTGCATGTGACGTCCTGGTGTAAACTCACCTCGTTTTGGTAAAGGAGATGAAGCTTCTCGCTCGAGATTGCACCTCTTTCGACGACAAAACACCTCAGGAATGAGCAAGTTATGTGCTTTAGATTTTTCACGCTTGTGTTGGGCCATCAACTGGCATTCGAAGAAACTCACGCGGCTCCATGTTGCTCCCGCAGGACGCAAGTGCCTACCTCTGAGTGCCGTTCCGATCGGACTGCAAGTTCCCAAATCGGTGATCGTATCCGGAATTGACCAGTTATCCGGAATTTCGATGGAATTGGGTGCTGAGGAAGTGTTCCACACCGCCACACTTCGATCGAGGACGTGCCGACTGTTTGTGCTCCATTGCTCTTGACATCATGAGCTGGCTGAAGAAGGGAGTGCGTGCGGCAGTCAATATGGTACGTTCTCGTCTCCTTTGCTTCTCTGTTCTCCCTCATGCGTCGACTAGGTCGCACAAGCGGCTGAAGCTGTCTCGCCGAACTTGTCCTTGTCCCTATACAAGACACCGGTGGAAGAATTCCATCACCGATGGACAACGGTGTCTCTGTTTCTCGACGCATTGGCGGCCGAAACATTGCCGGATATTCAACAGCGAACCAAATTGAGCGACTCAAACACGCGCGACAACTTGGCGAAGCTCGTCAAGTTACTGTACGCAGAAGAAGACGCTTTGGACAGGCAAATGTACGGTGGGGGCCAGGAAGAGTGCTCGATTGATGCACGACCATGCATGGAATACCTTCTCGAGCATAACGTGTTGCAGAACTTGTGCGCAAAGGCCGCGCAGGACAGCCCTCGGGGTCTCATGGTTCTTGTGCTCATATTCCTCACCGACCTCCTTCGCGAATCGCGAATCAACTACCCCATCCTTCCTACCCGCGGTGTATATCGCTCCGTGTGTGAGCTCATCCAGGCAGCTATGGTGCGCGAAGTCGAAGACGGCATGGTGCAAAAGTGCCTACTCCATTGCTTGCATGCGCTCTGGGTCAAGCTCAAGGGCGATCCCGTGCAAACTGAATTTTTTTTCCTTCGTATATACAAACCAGTACCAGGGGACCATTCCGGCAACCTCGCGCTGTCTCCCTCCAAGATCTCGGAGCTCGTCTTGTTCACCGGCATGTCCTCCAGCTTGAAGCTTGTGCCATTTCTCAATATTCTTGTTCGTAGGGCTCCTTCCGCACATGTATCGCGACGGTAAACTCGGCCACAAGTGCCGAGAATCGCTGGTAATCGCCGCGGGATTACAAGAGCCTGGATTGAGTCGGTTCATACTGCACATGACGCCGTTTTGCAATTATGCAGTCACGGGTGTCATCCAAGCGTTCGATGCGCTGCCTAAAGCAATCGGAGTCAAGAATGAAAAGACTTTTCGCAGCGTTGACCCTGAAGCCATCGCGTTGGAGCTCGAAACACTTGCGCTACGGCTTCGGTTCTGCTGCACTCTGGCGATGGTACGCATCGCTGGCCATCGCTCGCAGCTTGTTTTGCTGTTTTTCGAGCGGATTTCTGCTGGATTTGAAGCACGCCATCGCTGCATGACGTCATTTTCAACGATTTTTTGTGTTTTCGCGGGAATGACTGTGCAGATTTGTGCACATGGTTCTTCTCGTGGTACCTTGACTGACGTCGAGTGGATGGGCCTATTTGGATACCTTACAATTCCTGGCGCGTCGTGTAGGTGGGCACGTTTGAGGTCGTCGACACGTGCATCACCAAAGAAATCCTGACGCAATTCCACTCGCGATTCCTGCAAGGCCCGCTTCTGGAAGCCCTGTTGGATCCGTCTGAGGCGGCCGCGCGCACGGGCATCCATTACGCATGCATTGTGCTCGATCTACTGGCGACATGCGGCCGATCGCCAGATGCCAACCCAATGCTCCACGCGACAATATCGTTTCTATTGCATCACCACCACGCCAAGACTGTCGGCAGCACTTCGATCAAGGCATCGCTCGTTGTGCCGGTCGTCACCTCAACCAACGAATTAGCCCCTCCGCTGCTCGACCAGCACGGCGAGTCAGTCCGTTTGCTGTCGGAACTCCTGCATCGAACAAACAGCTTGTCACCGTCGCTGAGCGTCGCTGCCATCGATTTGTTTGCCCTGATGCTGCGTCTAAACGCCCCACAAGTCGACGCGGTCCTGCTCCCAACGACCTCGACATCTTTGGTATCCACCGCGCAAGCGAGCTCGCTCGAAGCCGCGGGCCACCGCAACTTGGCGGCGTGGTTCTCCTCGAGGTTTCCCCACTCGCTCCTGTCTACCCTCGACGACACGGTGTGGCAAACTATCATCAAGGCCCATGGGACGCCATCGTTGGCCCTTCCTCCGTCGACGTGGGACCGGGCATCTCCGTCGGGGATTCCGTTCGCATCGTCCGATTGGCAAGGATACGTTGTGTCGCTCCTGTCGTACGTGATCGCGGCGGAGCAACGGGTGTTGCGTGAAAAGTCTACCGCGCTCTTGACGTCAACGATCGATGGAGAGACTTCTTCCAGCGACACGGAAGAAAGCGAAGATGATGACGAAGGAGAAGTCGAACAAAGCCTGGGCGACAACGACGCGGCCGGACCGACACCGACGCGCCATCGCCGCCGCCGCCGCCAGCTACCGCGATGGCAAGTCCGTGTGCCGTCGATGACAACGGTCGCGATGGTCGATGCCGTGGTCGCTGTGACGCCTCCTTCATCGTCGTCCGCTTGGGAGTCGTTGGAATCGATGGTCGTGAATCGGCTGGAGCGGTGGCTCGATAACTCGTTGGAGGAAAATGTTGCGCTGTCGGGGCTCGTCGTGTTGCTGGCCGAACGCATTCCGGACACGGTATTTGACTGGGGTAAAACAATCGACTCGCCCTCGTTGGTTGGTGAGAAATCGCCCAGTCTTCGAGCTGTCTTGGAGGACGTCCATGCACAAGCATTCGCGCGTATTCAACGGCTGCCACAGACTCCCGGCACGTCAATCTCGTCCAGGTTGACTGCGGTCAAGGTAAAGCTCATGAGGCAGCCGAGCGACGACGCTCCAAGCAGCAAAGTTGCCGACTTGCAGCAGCCTTCGTTTGATGGCCCCGAGCTGCTCTTGGTATCGTTTGTCGTGCTGGAAGAAATGCTGAAGGAGCTTGTGGCCGGCCTCGTCGCTGTTGAGACGGTGCAATCCTTGCCGGAGATGCCTGAAGGCGTGTACTTGGAAGCGCATCAGTCGTCGCGAAAACAGAAAAAGCACGAGTTGTGGGCCGACGAAGACGACGTTGACGACGACGTTCTCAAGCAACGACGGCAATCCAGTCCATCCAAATGGAGCGAAGACAAGGTCGATGACATGGACACGCTCTTGACGTCGGCGGCGTCGCAACTGCAGTCCATCATGGCCCCTGGTTCCAGTGTAGTTCCATAGACGAATGTAACGAAGTGGAGCTCCACACTGGCTTTGGTCGAGCTGCAGCCATCGTTTCCTCCACGTGGCAACGCGCGGCCAGCATCCATCCCCAGGACAAGCAGATTGCAATGCAGATCCCATCGATCTGGCGCCGCGGCCATGGGCGTCCGATGCGGAATTTGTCATGCCAACAACATGCTGTGGCACTTCCGAGGCTCGTTTTGCTGTTGCCATCGAGCCACAAAGGAGCCGAGCGTAATCGCTTTGTTCAACTGTGCCAGGAACGGTCAGGCTTGGCGGTCTTGTGTCGATGGCGTGGAAGTTCGCTAGCCAGATCGGCCTGGAATGACCGAATCTCTCCAAGCATTTCCAGGCAACGTGCCGTTGCGAATCCTGCACTCTTCGAAGCTGCAAGTAAAGACAAGCTACGTACACTGCAAGCACACATATTTCCTGACTGCACTAGAGTGTGCACAGTTTTTGTTGACGATGCTACGAACTTTTGGAGAAGTGCCACGCAGCCAACGTGCCCGCGACGACCGCAGCAGCTGCCATCGCGTATCGAACCCATCCGTGCACCAGGATCGGGTCTCCATCTTCTGTCGTCCGCCACTTGCTACAGAACGTGGTGGCAAAGTAATCATGTCCCTTGATGAAGCGGATAACGGCATTGCCAACGACGACGCCACCGAAGAGAGGCACTTGACCGACGCCGACGTTCTTTCCCAGAGGAATCAGCATGCCTTCCGTCGACGGAGGCACGTACGGCGTCAACTTGATCGAGTTACCGCTGCCGGCAGCCACCCATTTGGCTAGCTCCGTCGCGACATGCGCGGCCTGAAACCCTCCAACATACGCGAGCTTAGGTGTGGGGTGGTCACTTGCGTCTCCCACGACAAACACGTGCGAGTAGCGCGGATCGTCGACTTGGCACGCGCCATTCACACGAACGCCTTTCGACGTCGTGGACAGCAGAGATGCGTCAAGCTTACGGATCAGATCCACATTCGGGGACATGCCAGCGCACAACAAATGCATGTCTGCTTCGATCTTCGTGCCTTTGTTCGTGGTGAAAGTTGTTGCGTGCGGCATGCAGTCGCTGGAGCGAAGCTGCAGCCGCTCGCCTAGTACAAGGTGGACGTTCAGGCGCATGAGCTTCTCCGTCAATTGCGCTCGAAACTCGTCCTTTAACTTTGCATTGTGCACCAACGAATTTTGTCCCTCCAGGATGGTTACTCGCTTCGTCGGGGACGCAGATGCGATTTCGCCCGCGACTTCGATCCCCACAGGGCCACCTCCTACGATTAGGACGGACGACGCAGCCTTGATGCGCTCGGCGGTTGCATGGATAGCCGATACCACGTTTGCGCGGGTGTATTCATGGAGGGGAACCTTGATTGGGGATACGTAGCTGCTGCCCGTCGCGAGGACGAGGTAGTCAAACTGAACACGCGTGGTCGTTTCTTGCGCCCTGTCATTTACAATGGGTCGCACAACGACGGCATTGTTGATGCCGTCGATTTCGTCGACGATGCCACGCAGAACCGTCGCCGTGGGGGGAAGGGCATGGGCGATGTTAATGAACAATTTCTTCACGTACGTCGGGTCAACCAACGCGCGGGGGACACCCACGCAGTGGAACGTGAAGTCGTTCTTCTCGATAAGTGTAATAGACGCTTGGGAAGGGTTCAGTTGCTTCGCCAGATCCTGCGCAAACTGGATGCCAATGTACCCGCCGCCGACCACGACAATCGCTGCCGGCGCCATGATGCGATAGTGTGCCAAATTGTGGCCACTGTCGTGATTAGTAAATTTGGACCAATCAGAATCCGCATTATGAGTGACCGATAATGTTGCGCTCAACGCGCGAAATCCATGGATTAACTGTAAAACACAATATAGCGTCAAGCAAAAATGCGTCTTAGCCTTTAATTGGTCAAATATGCATTAGCCCATGATTGGCCAATTATACCTTGATGTAGCATTCTGATTAGCTGACTCATAAAACTGCCACATTTAATACCTAGAATAGTATCCTCGCAACTACAGCCACAGCGGATGCTTGTATCAGTTCTTCCAGGCGTTGTGGCGCTTGGAGAAATTTCTGGTGTCTTCTACCGAAAAGTGGATAAAATTGGTCGACGAACGATCAAGACCTGGGATCCCATCAGGGTGGCTAATAATGAAGAAGTCATTCGAGAACGCAATTCCTCGAATTTTCCAATCGCGATGGGGGGGGCAATACTACCTTCTCCCATCAAACACAATGAGCCACTTCGACAAGGTCATCTAACCTTTCGCTGGCTTAGCCACCATGCCAACTGACACGGAGGTATCATCGGACGGACTGTACTTGAATACAATTCGACAATTTCGGAAAAGACCTTGAATTGTGCCATGATTTGCTTGGTTCCGACAGAAACCTTGGCCAAGTCCGTCTTGTTGTAGTCGGACGTGGGTTTGAGTCCCAGCGTGGCCTTGATGCGCCGCTGAAATTGGCGAGCATTGACAGTTTGTGCCACCCAATCCTACAAGCGTTCTCGTAATCAAGGTTAAAAACTGCATATTTTCGATAGTTTGTTGGCCAATCAATGGTACCATACGGGTTGCCACCTTGCCAGGACGACAGGTACAACACCGCCCCGGCAGCGGCAGGGATGCTGCACTTGTGTTGGCCACAGTTCGACCCCAATCACAGCCTCCTGAGCGAGCCCAAAACGCGGCAGCTTGCAGCCGCAATTCGGGCCATACAAAACTCGTCCCCACGTGTTTGCGTGCGCTGGGTGCATACAAACTTCAAAATACTCGAGGGCAAACCCTAGCAAGTTTTTCTCGAGTTCACTGCCTCAGGACGTCAGAAACGCCGGAGGACGATCTCTGAGCTAGGCGAGAGGTTTGCTTCCTTCTCAAAGCTGGCCGAGGCGGCAACTGTCGTGGTTCACTTCCCTGATGGGCTGCCTTGAAAGGCCTTTCGCACCGATACCATGCAGCTATTGGTGGATTCGTTAGAAATGGACAATTCTCATTGGCTATAAATCCACCAGGTGGTGGTTTCGTCCAACTCGACCCGCTTCGCTTCAGTACAGCCGCATGTTGGTATTGCGACGGTTGCAATGGACCAACAAGTTGTCAAACGCGAGCTGCTTCTTCTGCTTGGCGGCGATTTCTGCCAGCCGCGTCAAGTCCCGCTTCCCTTGCTTCTGGAATGCCACCGCAAGGAGTCGCAGCCCCGCGACGAGCAGATCCCGCGTCTTCTTGGCCTCCGCTTCGACAGTGACCTTTTCCGCGTGGGTTTCCACCGTCAAATACACGTCCGATGACCCGATCGTGTCGACGAGTTGGATCGCGAGAAGAGACAACACAGCTGGAGCGTTTGCCCCACGATTGTTCTTGGATTCGAGAAACAAATAGTTGCCACTTGGGCTCAGTCGCAAGAGGCGCGACTTGGTATGGTGGCGCACCTTCAAACCGCGCGAAAGCAGCACGCGGAAATGACCGAGAAGCTCCGCTTCCTTGTCCTGCCGAGATGGAGAAGATCGAACATCGTCCGGGGTCGATTGTTGGATTGCTGCGTTTGGGGATGCGGCTGGAGATGTTGGAACCGGTGGCGGCAATGGCGCTGGTTCCAGCGGTGTTGATGGGATGGAGGCATCGAGTCGGACCTCTTTATTGGTCAGCTTGGTAGTGCTAGATGCCCCAGCCATAGGATTTGTCGATGATGTCGAAATCGGTGAAGTGGGAATTGATGGTGGGCTGGACGATGCTGCAGCTGCATTCATGGGACTCGTGGGAACTTTCCACGCTTGTTGCATAGCTTGCATGACAATGTATTGCTGTCCCTAGTGCCCCACGACCTGTGAACCCTTGAGACTACGATTATCTAACTCTGTACCTGAACGATGGCACCCGCGCCTTTCTGCATTGCCAACGAAGCGGCGTCGCGGCACAACTGCGACAATTTATCGCTGGCCAAGTCGATATGCGCATCCAGTGTCTTTTCATACCTGCATGAAGATTAGGGTGATTGTTGCATGAAGGGGGGAGCAACGTACTTGACAAAGGACGGTGCAATGAGAGTGTCGTAGATTTGCAAGGCGCCACGGAACTGTGGGAGCGCAAGCCACGCCACCATACACACCTTGGCTTCGTAGTAGAAGGGAATATAGTTGCCGAGAAAGTCGACGAGGATTTCAAACACGGCAAAGCACGCATTCACCGTCCAGAAAACCACCCACTGAATGTGTTCGTCCGTCGCGTCTTCCTTTTTCGCTGATTGAACCGACATGTAAATTGGGTACGCGTACCCCAAGACGTTGCATATCGTGCGTGACAACAAGCGGCCCACCAGCATGTCGGAACAGCGGCGTCGGCGACGATGGCGCTGGTTCCAGATCAAGATATTTTTTCGGTTTTCTGGGACAACACCTCTTATCCGGTAGCTTCTCCGTCGTATCCGTCCTTATCCGGATGTTTGGTGAATTATCCGGAATTGTTGATTTCTACTCGCACAACGGAAGTAATCACGACGGCACCCGCCATGGACGGACATCTTGAATCGACATTCCATCAATTACGATGCCAAAGTACATCCTCGTGTCGATCCCGGTCTCGAACTACGTACAGAAGGCTCGTTGGGGCTTGCGCTTGGCGAAGATCGACTTCATCGAAGAGATGCATGCACCTGCATTCCACAGGCTCTCCACTCTACCCAAGGGCGGGTCCTCTGTGCCGCTTCTGTATTGCCTCGAGACAAAGCTTAGCTTAACGGATAGCGACCCGATTCTGTCGCTGTGTGGCCAGCACGTTCCTTCGCTGTATCCCCATGAACATGTCAAGTCACAAGAACTCAAGTATGACACCGAGTTTGGGCCCCACGCGCGACGATATGCGTACGGCTTCTTCTTTGCCAAGAAGGGGTCGGCCTTTAAGCACGCTATCACTGATCCGTTGCGAGGAAACCTCGAGTCGTACGCAGTGGCATGCATGCTACCAATGCTCCAAACGATGTTGACCAATGCCTTCAACGTGTCCGCGGCTGGCATCGAGCGATCGTGGGCAAAGATTGAGCAAGCATTCGATGAAGCCAGCGCTATCTTGGGAGACGAGCCGCTGGGGTCGAAGTACTTGGCAGGACCTTCGTTTACTGCTGCAGACATTTCATTTTGTTCACACGCCAGCTTGTTGCTTGGACCACCGGAGAATCCATACCTTCATCCCCATTTTCACCCCGACGAAATGCCCACAACTTTCCGAGCTCGCTACAGCCAACTTCGGGCGTCGAAAGCTGGACAGTTTGTCCTGTACTGCTTTCAGAAGCACTACCCCTCCGAGGACTTGTAACACGCACAACTAGGTGCGTTCGTTGAGCTGCGACATCATCGCGCGTCCGCTTCATACATGTTTTCGAAACATTTCCCTTGAACGGTGATGTCGTGGCTGTGTTCAACTTTGAGCGGCCGTTCGTCACATGTTATGCATTGCCTTCCAACAACGATGTCGTCGGAAACTTGCTCCTGAGGTGCCGTCGATGCACAAAGCATTAACGTGCACTTACACGCTGAAGACGCGAGTGCGGCTTCACAATCGGATAGCTTCCATCGTCACCGTCACGATCAAGCAATTATTGTCTTGCCAATGAAAATGCAGATATTTTTATTTACATATAACGATTGAATAACTTTCTTCCATGAATAAATTCAGAGCTTGTACGTTTTAGTTGAATGGTTTTGATTGGTGAATTGAGTTTATCCGTTACGATTTCCACCAATGAAATAGCTTGGATTCCTTTTCAAACCTCGCCCGATCGCGCCCGGTGGACGACGGCGCTTCCTGGCGCCGCGATCAAGCGTTCGAGCAAGGAATGCGAATGCGAAAAGGTCGATGTTTCAATGAGCGTTCATCTGCTCCTCGTCCATGGATCCGACAGTAGTGGCCATCGGTAACGGCAAGGCTAGGGTTCCGGATACAGATGTCGAGTGAGCTCGAGACAACAAACGCGAGCAAGCATGGGGCCACGGCACGTGCTCGTGACGATTCCCGCATCCAATTACTGCGAGAAGGCGCGATGGGGGCTACGCGTTGCCAAGATCGATTTTGTGGAAGAGATGCATGCCCCCCTTTTCCACTACATGTCCACGAAACCCAAAGGTGGGAAGAGTGTGCCGTTGCTGGTGACGTCGCCTTCGACGTGCTTGAAGGACAGCGACGCCATTCTCACTCTGTGCGGGACTGCTTTGCCGTCGTTGTATCCACATCCAGGCGTGAAAGAAAAGGAACTGTGGTTTGACAACCAATTTGGTCCTGCCGCCCGACGCTTTGGGTATGGGTTGGTATTTTCCCTCCCACCTTCCGTGGCAAAAGGCATCATCATTGACCCCATTCAGGGCACTATTGAGTCATACGCGGCGTCGGCAGCATTTCCCTTGCTCAAGTCAGCGCTCACAAAGGCGCTCAACATCACGGAACAAGGGGTGGAGCGATCGTGGACAAAAATACAATCCACTTTCAACGCAGTCAACGATATCTTGGGCGACAAACCGCTCGGAGCGCAGTTTGTGGCCGGAACGTCATTTACGGCGGCAGACATTTCGTTCTGCTCTCACGCGTCGTTGATCTTGGCGCCACCCCAGAATCCATTTCTCGCGCAGTACATCAACATGTCGGAGGCCCCCCGGCAGTACCAAGATCGTCACAAAGAACTGGTCGAGTCCAAAGCCGGCCAATTTGTCTTGTGGTGCTACGAAAACTACTACCTTCGTGCGCCAGTCCATCACACGGCAAAGCTGTGATGCGACCCACAGGAAATGCGGTACACCACTGAATTGAGTGTGGAAGCACATGCGCAAAGTCAATGTTTGCAATGACCAACCAACCCTACGAAAATCAAGCACAAATTCTTCAATTTAATCCCTTATCTGCTGCATGTGGACGCTGGAAACCGGTCGATGCGTGAAAGAACGTGTCGAACGGTGTTCTCCAGCATGTTTTCACACTCAAAACTATCGAGCCAACCACATGAATTCGACAACATACTGGGTTTCACGACAACTGCACATATGAAGCCTGATGCTTGGAGCGTCATGGCTGGTTCCCTGGGCCAGATTGCACCCAACAGGATGCGCGGTTATTGTCATCACGATCACACATGCCCTAGTCCAACCGGTGTCGGCCACAACGTGGTCATAATCGCAAATGTTCCAGTCTCTTTACGCTTTGAAATTGTATGAAGTTGGTGGCAGGCACGGGTGCAGGAGAGTCAAATGTCACCATATATCTCGATGGGATCATTCCGCCAGGCCAAACAGGGCGCGGAGGCTATTCGTGTCGATTCGTCCGTCCCCACACTAACCAAAAATAGAATTTATCCATCATGTGAGGAAAACAAATAGCACTTCTTGGTTTCGATCCAAGGACCTTTGGGTTATGAGCCCAACACGCTTCCTCTGCGCCAAAGTGCTACTTGTGGCAATGATTGAAATTAAAAAAACCAGTCTTTTTGCAATTTGCAGTCTCGTTAGTACGATTTTGAATTTCCCCGTGGCTTGTGAGGCGCAGTCCCGGTTTGGTCGACGAGTCCGTTGGTGGCTCGGCATCAATGCTATGTCGGATGCAACCCTCGCTGCTCTGGCCTTTTTTAAGTTGACAAGTTACTTGGTTGGCAAACTTTGCAAGAAGCGTGCAGACCGACATAATGTGGTCTCGACCATGCGAAATCGACTTGTTCCAACGACTACAAGGTTCATGCATGTCGAAGTCTACTCGATGACTCAGCGAAATCCAGCCATTTCTGTATCAGACATACGCAAACTCTGTTTCTATCGTAGGCAACAGCATCTGTCATGCCTTCGGGGTGCGAGAGCATCAGAAAGCACACCGGTCGTATGGACGAATGACTGTTGTCCGAGCACCAAACACCAAGACTGCAATCTCTTCAGTCGTGCGTAGCCACAACGTGACAGTTTTAGCAAGACGTTGCTACTGCTACGGGTAATTCCGGGTGGAAGACGTACAACGGTGAAGACACCGCTGCTGCCATGCTCTGGCACGATGGTCGCGACGATGTGGACGAATTCCGGAGAAGAATCGGGCGGTCCAGGCATTAGGAAGTTGGTGGGATATTCCACCATGGGCGTGCAGCTCGGTCCTGTCTTGGGAAAACATGCCGCGATCGCGACGTCTACCATCGAGTGTTTTGACATGAAGCACGGATAGACAACAGTCGTGCTCGATGCACTCGTGATATGGCAGCAGAATACTTGACCGACCTAAACCGTGCCATTCCCGAATCCAAGACAAGCCAAACTTGAGCAGCTCTGTGGCTCTGGCAATGAGGGTACTCATCCCCTCGAATATGCCGATCTAGGCAGACTTCTCAAACCATGGCTCCAAGTGGAATCGACGACAATACAAGATTGTTCACGGTCGTATGCTGTATTCGTGCGCCGGATCGGCAACCAATATCCTCACCTTGCGCTGGGCATGGCGTGAAGGCAAGCATCGGCGACTCAACGACTTCGATGCCAGCAGGCAGGCAGACGTTCGACACGATCGACAACATCACATCACTTTTCAAACGCAAGTTGATCGTCCACTCGTTCGATGGGTGCGACCAGTCATGACATCTCCCTTTCTCTCGTTGCACAAGTCGCCCCAAGCCTTGCCGTCGACACATGATATATACCACGCGACCCTCACATCCGCCACGACATCGCATTACACATCGATTACGTCTGCGACGTAGAGCAGTGCTCCGCGGCGACGTCGACGCTGCCTCGTCCAACGCGAAGTCCTTCCAGTGCTCGGTCCAAAGAGAATCCCATGTCCAGCAGCGTTTGAACCCGCTGGGACTTCTTGAATCGAATGCGCAGCGGGCGTTTCTGTGCTTGGATCATCTTGAGTGCTCTGTCCACCGTGTAATGGCCAAGGGGATGGCCGTTGGCCATCACAACCGTGTCAAAAAGCCCAATGACGCCACTCGCTTCCGCCTCCAACTTGTCCCCGTGAGGGGTGCGGGGAAACGCTGTCACGCACAAGTCGTCGTCGAGTTTTTCCAAGTACAGCCCCAGGACAACTGCATCGACTGGGAACTCCACGTCGTACTCGAGCGGCTGCAGTGGTTTGAGCATAATGTTGGTGCGTGGAGGCATCGCAATGGCCTCGTTCACGGCCGTGATATTTTGCCACAATTTGCTCGCGCCCGCCGTGGGGAGCTGGCTCAGGGACCCATTTGCGTTCTGGAGTGTCACAACGGCCGCCGGTGCCACCCGAGCGTCGGATGGCTCGATGATGGCCGACTTGGCTGACGACGAACCACTCAACTTGAGCGACGCCAGGATCTGCGACGTCCCAGGTGTTGGTGCTGGTTTTTGCTCTGGCACAGCCATCACGGTTTCTCCACGAAAGAGCCCAATGGACGAATCCTACAAACACAATTGGATTGCATTCGAATAGCTCTGGAGAGTGAGCGAACGACCAGACCTCGCCCGAATGCTGCGTACCTTTCGGGCGTCTGGTACTTCGTAAAAGAGTAAAACGGGCTGGTAGCGCCCTTTCACACAGCTAGGCAATAACATCAGCCTTTCATGGATGCATGCCACCGAACGTACTGTTCGACAACGTCGGTCCACTTGCCAATGTCGGTCACCTTGTTGTCGTCAAATAGCAGCCAGAGCTGGTGCGCGGTGCTGAAGAAGAATGCAAAATAGTGCTTGCCATAGTAGCATACAAAACCCTTGAACCGGTACTGAGCTCGAATACCGTGGAGAACTTGGGCCATCTTGGCGGCTTCTCCGTCGACACTGAACGCTTCGGACAGGTCCAGCGTGTCGCTGATCGTCGAGAGCAGCGTCTGGATGTCTTCTTTCGGCGGGCTGTTGCTGGACCATAGCAGAGACATGGCAAACACCGGTGGAAACCGATGGATCACGCGCTACTCACGTCAGCATGAGCTATGCCACTCGCCACGGCGCGAGTGTGATTCCACAAAGGGCATGTGGACCGACCCTACCTCGGTAGCAAGCTTGCCGTTGCATGCTTCGTCATGGCAAGTGCCCAAGTCGCCGTTGATTGCGTCGGGGAGGTGCTTAAGCATCGACTCCATGTTGGATTGCCGCAAACTCAGCGCAGCCGTCGCGTAAGTGCTGAAGACCTGTGCAAGTCCAGTTCACTCGCACCATCTGTGTCATGTGTCTTGGATTTCGAACTCACCAAGTTGCTGCACAGCTCCCATGGCGACGAGTGGCGACAATTCTGGCACACATGTCGGTCGTAGATTTGATGGCTAAACACAATGTGTGGAATGCTGTTTGGGTCAAACACTGCCAACGGCTTCTCGACGTAGCCTTCGACGCTCTTGCTTGTAATTGTCCGCGTTCGCTTGAGTGTGGCGCGCTCGGCCTCGGTGAGTTCAATCATATCCTAGATCGGATGAAGTAGGAGTCAGGCCCCATTCGACCCCGTTTCGGGCACGCATGCATCGTGGGCCGTTCGACTCATTGGCACGACCAACATGTCACGAACCGATTGCTGGTGCATAAGGTTCAAGATCGTCAGAAGTGTTTCTTCGGCATCGGCCATCGATCCTTCGGCAAACAGTTTGTCCTAGTTCGACATCGAAAATGTCAACGGAGATGCTGCTGCTGCTGAATGAGTTCACGAGAGCCCGTGTGACGCCGAGTGAACACGATATTTGCATGCAAGTAAACACGCCCTGGACAAACCGTTTTGTAGAGAAGACTGAGCCCTTGGCGCAACTCCTTAGGATGGAGTGACCCCGACGACGGATCTTCGTACGCCATCATGGTAGCCTTGAGCGTCTTGAGCACGTTGGTGGCAGCGGTCTCGCTGCCATCGTCGTTCTTCTCGTCGGCGCTCTCTTTGATCGTGACGTCCAAGAGCAAACGACGTAGCGGCACCAAGTGCCAAAAGCTTTGGATGATCACGTTGAGAAAACAATTGTTCTCGCCTAACTGGGCAGTCAACACCGATCTCGATATTTTCCACGGCAACAATGCGAAATCTACGCACCCGTGTCATTCTGGAGCCCGCGGTGAATGGACGCCCCCTTGCGCCACATTTCGGTCTTGGCTTTGGGCAGCTTTTGAAGTGCCGCCGTTGCCACGTTGCGCCATGTGGACTGCATACAACATCATCCATCGCGGGATGAGATACAACAGTGCTGGGATCAAGAGATCGTTTCAATGCGTTACCTCGGAAGTGAGGTTGTTGGCCCACGCGTCGTACAAGTCAGTTGTCTTGACCTCCACCTCAAGCACGCATGGTCGATCCTCCTTGTCCAAGGCATGAAGGAGGAATCCACGATCCCGCTTGTCCCATGGGACGAATCTAGATTCTTATACGTGATGGCAATTCAAGATATCGGCTGACTGAACAGAAGAACCATCTTACTTGAGGTCCGAGTATGCGGTTTTGGTCGAGCAGTCAGCCAACGCCGCAGCCAACTCATCTGTTGACGGCTGGAACTTGAACGTGTACATCATGATGCTCGTGGGTTTCAACGGGTGCACTGCCAAGACACTGTAACGAACATGTCGAGGCCGCTGCAATCACGCTTTGGTCAGCATGCGTCAAGAACGGACGAAGAAGACGTACTACATTCACGTAGCTCTGTGTCTTGATCTGCATCCAACCGCTAAAGATTTCAACTGCCGGGAGCTGTGTTTGATGAGTTGAGACAGCCCACGTCACACACGAACATAATATAGCTTACTCCATGGCTGAGGACTTCATTTGGCGCCGTTGCAGTCGTCGCGGCGGCGCTCATGTTTCCAAATGCTGGGATCTGCGGCAAGTGTACTTTTACAATCAAGCTGTTAAAACGTTAGGTTAAACTTTAAGCGGAAGCGTTGAATGAAAAACGTACATGTGTGTGGGTTTAAACGCAGTTGTTCGGTTGATAGACATTATGTCCGTCGCGTTAAATTGGAGGGCTGAACTTCTATACCATTGGCTGGAATTGCACAATTTTCCATGAATGGACCAATCAATCAAATCTCAGGACATTTCACATGGGGTTGTATTATGACGGCGACGTACTTGCGGAACTGCCGGTACTGCCGCCTTCGTCCGTGCCTAAGACGGTCTCAATGAGCGCCGAAGCGTTCTCCATCGAGTTCAGTGACTTGACTAAATAGTGCAGCTGTCGGAGAACCGTAAGCACGCCGCAGTGCCGCTCGATTTCGTCCTCCCTTCGTGCCAGGAGACGCAGCCGATGCTACACACACACGATCAGCTTCTAAGAACATACCATAACTCACGGACCCACTCTGCAAGCAATCCATCAGGCGAACTGACCGTACCTCAACTTTGGGATACACGGCGACGCGACAAGGAGGACTGATTCGAGGGGAGGGATGGTCGTTCTGGTCGTTGATGGCTTCGTTCGAGTGGTCCACAGACAGCCTCCGTCGTTTGGCCGGGTGCAATGGATCATCGCCTTTATTCTGCTGCTGCTGCTGTGGTTTGAGCAAATCCGCGCAATAGTACGCACACAGCGCGTTCAATTCGTCCGCGTCAAAAGGGAGCGCGGCGATCTTCTCCAGCACCTTCCGTGATTGATGGATCATTTCTTGATATCTGTCTCCACACGCTAGCTCGCTCGATGGCGGCGGCGCGGTCGCGTTGGTTTGGTTGCCCATAGCCACTCGTCGAACGTGGTTCATGATGCGCTCGTTCAATGCACAAACCGGTTGCATGGCCTCCTTCCCTTCGGGAAGATCGACGTTCAGCCCCGGCGCAAAGCTCAAGTTGACTCCAGTCAACTTTACGAGGGGAAGCGACGGGTTCATCTGAAGTGCCGTCACGACGCACTTGGCGGCGTACTGGTAGGCGTCATCTTTGGCGAGTGAAGCGACATTCGGCGGCGGCCGCTCCATGTACTTGGTAGAAGCCCAATCGTGACCGTCGAGAAGGAGTCCCATGAGGGTGGTGGAATCTCGAAGTCCCATGCACAAGTCGCGGAAGCCGAGCAGACTCAACTGGGCGTAGCTCAAGTCGAGGACACGGAGGGACGAGTGCGACTTGGCCTTCTTGGCGAGACAGCGCCCCAACGCTGCAGCACCGGCATCGCCCACGGGATTGTTGTCCAAGTACAGATTTTGAAGTTGGTTGGGTCGGGAATCAAGGACATCAGCGAGTGCGGTCACCCCCGCCGCATCGATACCGTTGAACCCAATCTCCAGTGTCTGGAGTGGCAGATTCGCCGTCGCAAACGCCTCGACGAGGCTCAAGACCCCAGCAGACTCGATGCGATTCTGGCTCAGCATGAGCTCTTCCACGTGCTCATTGACCGTGAGCGCGTCCGCGAGGTGGGCCATTCCTCCGCTGCCAATGCTATTTGTGCCAAGGTACAACGCTGTGAGCGATGTGTTCACCCGCAGCATGTCGGCAAGATGCTTCAGCCCTTCGTCCCCGATGCCATTTCCGCTCAGGTACAGCGTTTTGAGCGACTTGTTGGACCGCAATGCTCCCGCGAGTCGCGCCGCGCCACCAACGCCAACGCCGTTTCCACTGAGATACAACGTCTTGAGCGTCCGATTCTTGCCTTCCTCAAGAGCTTCCGCAATCTGCTCGATACCCTTGCTTGTGATACCGTTGAATCCGAGATCCAGCAACCCGAGGCTTTCGTTGGACGCCAGTGCTTTCCCGAGTACCCACGCTCCTCGATCGCCAAGGTCGAAGCCACCAAGCTTCAGAATCTGCACGTTGTTCAAATCAGCTCGCACGCGGCGAAAGAGGTCTGACGATGGGGTGAACGACATGTAGCTGCGCACGCGTTTCTCCAGCAGCGGGCGCGACTGCTGTCCACGCGTCTTGTCGTCGTCTTCACCAGGACAGGCATAAGTCATGCGGTCGACTCTGTACTTGTACCGTGCGTGGAGTTCTCCCATGGCCCGATACTTTCTGTGGCTAGGAGTTGGTGGAATGTGTGGTCTCTGGGAGGAGTCAGCGATGATGGATATGTCGGTGTTGGACCGCCGGTCTGATGGCCGCCGCCGCTGACGTTCCTCAACCGTTTGGAACTTTCGACGAAAAAAACATCCCAACCAGCAAAATAATTCGACAACATTTTATTCGGACACTACCGTCATACTGTATGCCCTTGGCGCTTGAAAAAAATACCCAAGTAGTAAAATATCGCCATTTTTTGAATCCTGCCAATTACATCTTCTCAATCAAATACACGAGTCGCGGGGAGATGCGACAGGAGCATGCGGCGACGCGACGTCCACGGATCTTCTTCGTGCCGTGAATACAAAGGAGCAGCACGTGAAGTTCAATGTTAGCGATCCGTTACTCATCGCTGGACGGATGACGGTGGCGTGGTGTCGCTTGGGAAGCAGCATCTGCGGTGGCATGGCGCCAACGTCTCCGTGCGGAAAATCGGCGCTGCAACTTCTTTGCGACTCGATGGATCGCGCTGTGGTTGATCAGGACAAAGACTTTGTCATGGGGGTCCAAAATCGTGTGGACGTATGGGCACGTGTACACGTACGGCTTGGCCGCGCCATTGAGGAACGACGGCGCGCGGAGGAGCCCAATGGGCAGAGCATGGGAATGCTGCCGCGTCATTCGTTCCACGAGTTCGCCATACGTAAGTTGGAGGTGTCGCCACTGCGCCGGGATGTCGTACAGCATGAAGATGGACTTGCCGTCCAGGACATGGCGCATAAACATGTTGATCGACGCGTTGTAAAAACTTTGAATGAGCAGCTCGTCCGCGACGTAGGCCGGAAAGAGCCCACCGCTGATGTACCGCTCCTGGAAGAACGTCTCGTCGTCCACGTTGAACTGTTCCATGAGGGCGTATGCCTTGTTGGCGGTGCCGCGGCTGTCGGTGGCGTCGCGCGCCAGATCATTCTTGAACAACGCCGTGCGGATTTCGGCGAGAATGTCCTTAGTCGTCGACCACTTGTCTGCCACCCATTGCGTAAAGTCCATCGAGTAGCTTCGCTGCAGCATCAACCTACGACCGGTTGCTTGGGAGGCATGTGAGATGCGCGAAGCTTGCGACGCGCGGGAGCTGCGGGACCGGGACGACTGCGGGATTTGCTGCTGCGCCAGGGATTGCGTCGGGCGCAGTGAAGACAGCGCGACCTTGACGGGTTGCGGACTTAGCGGCGTCTCGGACAGCATGGGAGTGGCCGATCGATTGCTCGTGGTGTGCATCGAGTTCATCGAGTTGGCGCGTAACGGGACTGCCGACGATGGTGGAGGTGGCGCCACCGGCGGAATTGGGAAGGCGCTGTCGTTTCCGCTACCGTGCAGAATGTCCAAATACTTGTTGAAATGCTCCTCCTTGAGCTCGATGATCGAGAACTGGTCGCAGTGGACCAACTGGGGCGTGTCCTGAATCGCGGCGTCGATCAGCATCGTTTTGAAAATCGCTTCAGAATCCGTCAAATTCTACAAATGCCGTCAAGTTACACACATGCAGCCGCTTTTGGTCCAAGACACCGCTCACCCCTTCCTCGGACCCTTGGTCCAGGACGATCACGGCCGACGCCTTGTAAATCCCGGCGCGGACCAAGCAGCTGTGCTTCTGCGGCGACCCTGTCGATGCCACGTGAGTCACTCCTGGCCATGCTGGTATGGCTCTTACCTTGCAAATGATACACGCTGCCAAACACACTCAACTGGGCCCACGCGCTGTCTTTGAATTCGGTCGGGTGGATGATCACAACAGCGACTGGCGCCATGACGTGGTCCTTGCGCAGTGGCCGCAAAAAGTTGACCAGCCGCGTAATCGTTTGGTCACCCGACGGGCCGCTACCGGATCCCCGTCGATGAGCCCAAGACATCTCGAGTTGGTCGAACCTGCAAATCACGATATGTCCCCCAACATCCAAGAGCGCGGGCGGGGGCGGCAACGCCTTTTCTAGTGTCACCATGCGGCCAATGTAGTCCCGGACGGACATGGGGATGCGCTTCTCGACCTGCACCACTGACATCAATGCCGTGGTCATGGAGAATTATCAAGGCAGTGATGTGTACCGTGTGGCGAGCGCGGTGGGCAGCTTTGACGAGTTGATTGCGAACCTTGAGCAGTGCCATCAACTTGGATGTGTGCATGGTTTGGCCAACGGCAGCAAACGGCTGTATCGTCTTGAGCGACTCGGCAATCATGTACACCTAAAACCAGATCATCCGACCTTTCGTGTCCATTCGTTCGAACCTTGGTGGACTCCGTCAACACAAACGTGTGGCCAGGGTTCGTCACAATCTCGTGGTCGTCCTGCACAGCCAGAAACTGCACCTGGCCGTTCGTGTCTTGGAACACAGTGTGCGCCGCATCGAGGAACGACATGCCGTGGAATCGAGCAGTGACATGGCATGCATAAATCTCTTTCGCGGCACCGGTCACGTACTCTTCGACCCAGAGCGGCACTTGGTCACCGGCCCCGACATTGCCCTTCTCTTCGTTTTCGCGCACGACCGCATCGAACGCATCCATGTCGAACGACCCGATCAGGTTTGCCATCAGCGTCGATAGCCCGCGGCACCGGCAGCTCAGACCCATGAGCCCAAGCTTGATCTCGTCCGAGCACACCAAATGGTCCGACGGAATTCCCGTCGCTTCTAGGAGCTTGTGGTTTTCCGCATTCACGACCATGGCGTACAAGTGGGATGCGTCGGCCACGACGTTGGTTACGGCAAGCACCCGGAGAACGTTGGCCGCGTCTTCTTCATTCGCGAGCTTGGCATACTTGTTCGGGAGAAAGAAAATGGCGGTCGCGGCGCGAATTTTGGCGCGGCGGAGGTCCGTGTCGGAAAGCGGGGACCCCGACAGAAGCGTCACTTTGCCGTGGATGTGTGGATTGGCGTCGATGTAGTCCAATACGACTCGGTGGAAAGCAGCCTCGGCTTCGACATTCCCATGGAATTCCACGAGCACCACGAGTTCTATGTGACGCGTGCGGGCGGCGGCGTGGCGCTGTCGTCTCGTCGGGCCCGACGGTTGGGGACTTAGTTGGTCGGACGCAGACTTGGACAAATGTTGATCGTGGTCGGGGTGGAAGAATTCGCGGAGAAAATCAAGCACTTGGACCGCAGAAGGGTTTCCTGTGAGCACGACGTGCGGCGTGAACCGCTTGAGAGCATACTGGCGCCGGCCAAGCCGTCGGTCTTCGAATATAGCGACGAGGTGGGCCGTTTCCGCGGCAAAATAGTAAATGCCCGCGGGGATGAAAAAGAGTACAAGAAATCGACCGAGCACGGTCTTGGGTGTGATGTCGCCGTAGCCGACCGTCGACACTGTCACAAGCATAAAGTAGAGCGATGTGAAAAGGCTCATGCGCTCGGTGCACAGCCCCGACTCGAACCCGTCCGTGTTGTTGGATGGGATGAGGTCGCCGGCAGGCGTCGGGCACATGTAGACATGGACCAAGAACGAGTTCGTGTCGGGCATCTCGCCAAGGTATTCCAGCGAGTACAATACAGCCGCCGCTACAACACCGACAACGATGAGTGCATGCTAAGGTCACCACGAGGCAAGACGAGCGAATGTTGAGAAGGAGCGTCGTGAGCGAATTGAGGTTACTCCGCCGCCGACGCCCACAAAAGAGTGTCAAGCAGTCCTCACAGTCCAATCCCACAAAATCAAAACGCACGTAGAGCACGATTGAAATGGATGGCTCCAAATCGCCGACGTCGTGGTAACGTACAAAAGAAGATAAGGCATGCCGTCTTGACGAGGATCCGACCAAGCTGCATGGAATAGCTCGACTTGTAGCGCTGTGTGAAAAAGTTCAGCGTTGCTTTGACATTTCGCATGTACTCACGTCAAACACAGTCGCGAGAACATGGTAGATGATGTAGGACCGAAGAAATGCAAAGTTGAGCCACGAGTAGCGGAGTTTGCCGACAGCCTAGCAAGACAGGTGACGAAACAGCGCGACAATGCAAAGCAGCGGCAATCCCCAACGCACCACAGATGTGCCCAGTGCAAAATGCGACGTGATCGAGAGCAAGTCGAAGAGGTTGTTCAGCTGGAGGCAGTGATACACCCTATCGAATCCATGACGTGAAGGCCCTGGCGCATGGTGGACGGCTCCGCGTACTTGTTTGAGGCCGAAATCCACCGCAGCGAATAGCTAAACGCGCAAAACGTCAACAGGAGCGACTCGATCGTCCAAGTTGCTGGGTTCAGTTTCATGGCGCCAGCGCGAACGACTACAACGGAACGTGTTGAGGCTGTGATCGAGCACGGATCGAACACGTACTCCACGCTCCGCAAGAAAACAGCGATGCAATGAGTTGAAGTCCTGCACCCTAAACAGCAAACGAATGGATGACCATGAATTGCGCTGATGCCGGCGTCATGACGGAGAACGGACGGACGTACTGCGTGGGCACTATATGACGCAACGCGCCGAAGCTTCTCGACGTACGGGTTCCGTGACATCTCAAGCCATTCAAAGAGCACCGACACGGCAAAGATCGGCGTCTGCAGATATAGCCAATATCGGAACTGCATCCATATGAGCTCCCAGTTTGCCGTGAAGCACTCTTGGTTCTGGTCCAACAGCGCGCACGCTTTCTCGGCAATTTCACCAACCGTGCCAGCGGACATGTTGCTGCGCTGGAACTCGTTGATATCGGTGACAAACGTGTTGTTGATCCAAGTCGCATTCTTCAACCGAATGGACGACACAGTCTCCACGCCCAGCGCAACCGCCTCCCCTAACGTCTGCACCATCGTGCCGTGGGGTCGGCGCCGGTTCAATCGACGGGTTGGTAATGCCGTGAGTGGCGTCGTATCCGGATACCAGTATCCGAAGTCCCATCGATCCAACGTTCCAAACGCGTTTAAACGAGTAAAACGTTCTTTCGACAACATGGCGTACTTCAACATGAAGATTCACGCAAGGAAGGAGGCGACTGGGGGACCGACAGGCAGCAGACAAAACGCGCACGCTTGTGATATGCATGGACTATCTCAGCGCTACATCTTTGCAAGGTCGTCACTTGGCTAGACGATGAGGTACAGGCCACACAATGCTGCGTTCTTGCAACGTTGTCACTTGGCTAGACGATGAGTTGCAGGCGACGCAATGCTACGATCTGCTGCATGGCTCAGCACGCCCATTGATGTGGTCTGGTGAGGTGAAGCTGCGAGCGCCAGCCATTCTCTCGACAATGGCCCAAGTGGGCATCAAGCAAACGTATCCGTGACGTTCCGCGCCGTGGATTGACTGAAAATCGTGAGGGGGCTGTGTCTATCCCGCTGTCGCAAGGTGGCTTGATGCAAGATGTTCTTGGATCGCACTCTCACAAGCCACCGTAACTTTTTGCAGGACGCTGCCTCCACTACGACAAGTAGCGTCGAGGTACTTGGCACCCGCGGACCATGGACCGTCCTCTCTTGCACCACCTCATTGTTGGATGAAGTTGGCGTACTTGCCTTGAAAGCAAAATGGGTGAAAGATCGCGGATGTGATCCAAAACACGGGGAATGGGCTAAATCCTAATTGGGAAGATACCGAGTTTCAATGTAATCAAAATTCCAAGAGAAGTTCGGCAAAAATCCGAATTTCATCGACGATTTTGTCCGAAATTGTCCAATAAAATCGGACGTTTCGAAATTTCCGTGGGGCGATCTTGGCATTTCACTTTTCGACTTGCCCTCGCCTCCGCAAGCCAACGCCCCTCTATCGCGCGCCACAGACCAGACACACATCATGCTTACAGAAGTGGTGCAGGTCAAACAGTTCAACGACTACGGCTTCGAATGCTGGGGGCTCTTTGCCAAGGAAGACTTGCCCAAGGGGACGTTGGTGTGGTACGCGGAAGGCCACGATGTGCTTGACACGTACACGAAGGCCGAAATACTTGCACACCCCCAACGAGAAACCCTAATTACGTACTCGTATATGCGCGGCGACGACAGTAAGAATGGACTCGTGTGTGGCATCGTGCTAACGGTTTTCGCTGCAGAGTTTTGCTCGACGTTGAACCCTTCGTCCGACCCGAGCTGGTACTTCAACCACTCGTGCGACCCGACGTGCTGGTATGAAGGTGACGAGCGCATAACAACTTGCCGCGACGTCAAGAAAGGCGAGCAACTTGCGTACGACTACTCCTGCACTGAAACGGAATCGTCGATGCATTACGGTCTGCGATGCCTCTGTGGGACGGCAGCATGCCGTGGCGTACTCACGTTTTCCGAATGGCGCAGCCGAGCGTACGCGCGCAAGAACAAGGGCCACTTGAACGACTACGTGTGGGAAAAGCATACCGAGAACAGCTGGTATGATCCCCGTGCGGAAGTGCGTACCAAGAGCGGCGACTCGCGCGGGATGTTTGCGCGCATTCAGAAAGACGCTCTGATCAAGGCTGGCGAAATCGTTGTCGTTTTTTCCGGCAAGATTGTGCACCGCAACCAAGTGAGCGAACCTGGTGCAATCTCGAAGCGCGACTTGGAAATGTCGCTGCAAGTGGCGCCTGATCTCTGGCAAATTCCGTCGTGGAAGGTATTGCGTGAACTGTCCATGCCGTGGTCATATCCGTGTCTCTAGGAAAGCGGTGAAAAGTACGACACAAGTGACTTCATCAATCACTCGTGCGATCCATCGTGCGGCATGTGGGACTCGGTCACAGTCGTCGCCATTCGAGACATCCACCCCGGCGACGAAATCACGATTGACTATGCCATGGTGAACGACGGGTCCATCAACGCCATGACCACGGGCGACAGCGACGCATTCGAGTGCCACTGCCAAAGCGCCAACTGCCGCGGCAACATCACACCGTCCGACTGGAAGCTTCCTGAACTGCAAGCGCGCATTGGACAGTACTTTGCTCCATTTGTCAAGGATCTCGTCCGTTGCAGCAGCCATTTGTCCCCGTGAAACAATCCCCACCTTGCGTCGTGACGGCATGACACTTACGAGATAGAAATACAAAGTTCGAACACACAGCGTAAAAAAAACAAGTGTTGGTCGGTGTCCTCATTCGACTTTGGCGGCGATGGTCGCTATGGAGCACATTGCTTGCATGTCCCAGCAACTTGCGATTGCACCTCAACGAGCTGCCTGTCAAAGGCTCGTCGAACCTTTCGCATTGCATTCGCCAGCCATCGTTGATTCCACAGGGACAATGGTCATGGACGCGACCACCCTACAGATGCCACGTCATGTCTTTCCAAGCATTGCGCTCCATCGCATACCCCACGACGTTCACGTCGTTGTAAGTTACCGTGTTCATTTTGCTCTCTAAGTCCCTATCATGACCCTTCTACATCTCTGCGTCGCCATCGTCCCATTCATCTTCCTCGCCGTGGTCGGAAGTGTCGGCATGTTGGTCGTGTTGCTGTTGGATGCATTCGATTGTCTCAATGCCTTTCTGAAGCTGGTCGATGGACGACGTCATGAGGAACGAGATGAGAGCGTCCGGGCCTTGGTTGGCCAGACCGTTGAACAAACTCGTCGACACGTCTGGCAGTGCAGCATCGTCAAGTTTCGTCTTTTCCTTTTCCAACTTTTGACGCTCTTCCAAGACAAACTTGAAGGCATCTTCGGGCGTATCAAACGTGTCCGAGAACTTCATGAATCGGTCGACGGACGACGACACGAGATGGAGCCATTGGTCACCCCCCAATGAGTTGTGTCGCTGGAAGAGGGGGGTGCTGGCTGGAAGACCTGAACTCGACGGAGCCGGCAGCGCTCCAAAACCAGTTGGAGTGGCAGACTTGTCGAACAAAGGGTTGGTGTTGCTTGAACTCGAGGGGACCTTGGGAACCAATGAGTTGGTTGGCGGCGATAGGAACGAGGTCAGAGGTAGTGGTGGTGGAGCGGGGGCTCCTGGAGGCAAGAAAAGCGATGAAGTGACTCCCGGTGGAGTGGACTTGCCGGTGGTACTTGGTCGCTGGAACAACCCATTTGCATCGGACGACGGCGGTGTTGGAGGCTGAAGCGGTGCGGTCCCGGGGGGTTCAAATAGCCGAGATGTGCTAGTTGTTGGTGCAAACAAAGGCAATGGCGCTGCTGGTGCAGACGAGGGTTGTTGCTGCGGCAGGACTGGATTTAACACTTGAAGCGGCGGAGCCAAATGTGGGGTAAGCGATGGCTTGGCTCCAAACAGAGGATTCGGAGGGCTCGTCTTGGCGAAGAGCGGATTGGGCCCTTCGAAAGATGGGGGCGCCGGGTCGTCTATGGCCAACTGCACTATGGACGGCGTAAAGCCGGGATTGGTCGTCAGCATGGAGGGATTGAATGTCAGCTTATCGTCCGAGTAGCACACTCCCACGAGGAACCTCCACACAGTGTCTTCGTCACTACCAGGGACAATGGGGATGTGGGTTGGTTTCCGCGTTGGGTATGGTTCCTGGCGTGCGACCTTGTTGATTTTGTTAGAAGTTTTCCGAGGGGGTCCCTTGATCTTTGGTTTCTCCACACACGTAATCTGACTCAACGCGGCAGGATTACCACGCACAAAGTACGCGTGGTTGTACGTTTCTTGGTCCGACGCCGTTGGGTCTCGCTCGAAACCATGGTTGAGCAGCTGCTGCCGGAAGGCCGTGAGCTTGCCGCGGTAGTACTTGAGCAGCACATGGGAGTTCAATCGGTCTTCATCCCGGATGGTGAAGTGCGTTCCAGACGGCTCCCATCCAATGATAGATGCATCCTCCTCTTCTAGCATACGATACAGCTTCCTCACAAACCCAGTCGCGATGGACGAAGCCATGATGAAGGTTGTCGAGTTGCGGAATGGCGACGACATACATGGCGAAAAGCACATGTGATATCGTTATCCGGATATTCATTGCCCATTTAAAATGCCACGGATAAGGTTTAATTGGCATCAAATTATATGGAAAAGTAAAACCTAAACGACCAGCATTCCCATTTTATCCGGAAGACCGTGGAGGTTTCCTTGATGCAATTCGAGTGAAGGTGGCAGATGCGACGCAAACGGAACATGGACGTGAGCCATCCACATTTGGCCTGCGTTCATGAAAGCTAGCAGTCCAAAACCACTTCCACGCGGGAGACGAGGGTCTTCGGATGACTCTGACTGCAATTTCGAGACTGGTTGCGCCTTTGATGCAGAGAGCTGCTGTGTCCTGTCGCTTCGAGGGCATTTTCAGCCCTGAGATTTTTCGGTCGTTCCGTGCGGCTTTGCTTGAGGAATACAAGTTACCAAAATAGGTTTCATTAAGTTAGGAAAGACGAAACACTTCAGCTGTCACAAACACACGACCGCCGGTGTTGCCAGCTCAGTCCAGCCATCGACGGCGAACGTATTAACCGCTTCGTGGGAACTGGGCGGGTCAAAGAGAGGGTTCCCCTTCACGGAGCACACCGTCGCCAGCAACTGCCACAAGTTGTCGCTGGTGGCCGTGCGGGCACGATTGTGTTGACATTGTTGAATCGGCGACGGCGAAGCAGATATCTTGGGTTGCCTCAGCCGTCGGCGTTTCATCGACAACGCCACGGCGTTGGTGCGGCTACGGGTGTACTCGGGATGTTCGAACGTTTCCGAGTCTTGTGCTTGTCCCACGACTGAAAAGCCATGTGCCACGAGTTGCTTCCTGAACGTGGCGAATGTCATATCACCGGTCGATCGAAAGTAGTGTGGCAGAATCGATGCTTCCATCTTGGCTGTCGACTTGACGGTGAACTTGGTACCGCAGACATCCCACCCCACAACAAGGGCGCTCTCGTGGGTCAAAATGCGGTGCAACTTCCTCAGGAACGTCTCGCCCGTGGCGTTTGCGCTCACGTTGGTCATGTCAAGCACGTCGTTGCAAGTTTGAAAATGCCCGACACTTGGCATAGATGACATGCTGGTGAATGTTGGCCAGCCCCAGTAGTGATGGTCGCCGATGGTACCACCACTCTGCATCGAATAAAATAGCTATTTGGCATTTGGTGCTCGAGCTATTTCAACTACTTTTTGCCCACATAGGTGCAGTACATTCCAAGGAAATATATAGAAAACCAACACTCAAGAGCGGATTCTGGCAGTCGCTTAAATTATGCATTCGGTGTGCCATAATCGCTCCCACGGTATATTTTGACGGACATCTTGTTTGCCAGACATCAGAATTCAGCCCGAGGACATCAAAATTCCACCAACGAAATATTCGGTTGGTAAACGACAAGCGATGGAAGTGCGCCACCACGAGGAGGAAGCGCATGGGGTCCAAGCGCTCAATGGACAACATGCAGAAGCCCACGAGCAGACGCAGTGGACTTTGATGCCTCGACCTCGTTCCTGGCGCGACGTCCGAATTGCCGGAATTTCGCGTATCATCGTTGGTGCATGTTTCAATTATGACGCTGTGCGCTGTACGACCCCAGCAAACAGTTCAATCAAGAGGACGTGCGACTGCGTCGCCTGCCAGAGCTGTCGTGGCCTCGAATCGTGGGAGCACGACGAAAACCACAGCGAGCCACGACACTCCTCCAATTTCACTTTTGTCGATGCCATGGCTCGTTTCGCGTGCATGCTGCATATACCGTAAGCAGGGGTCCCAGGAGGTACGTTGGCGATCCAGTGAAGAAGCAATATCAGCGTTGTCAAAGGGATACGAAGCACGCAAGGCAACAAACACCCAAGACGAATGAACGCGGCTGGCCGTTGCACCGCTGCGCCTACGAACGGAAAGCGTCCACCATCAACAAACGAGTCGCGTGGAGATTGTTCGTGTTGCCGGTGCCAGTGGGACAAGCGACGGCCGTCGCCACTACAAGCGACAGAAAAGTATTCGCGCCAACGTCATCCCATGTGAATTCTCGCGGAATGCAGTACTCGACTGGCGACACCACTGCACTTGCCCAGTGAAGATTCGCCCCACAGGGGCAATCTCGGACGTTTCCACCGAACTCGGCAGCGTTTCTTGATAGGGATCGTATTCTGGTGACGACAACAGCGTTGCGAAGCAGTTGTAAGCTTACAAGGTGCAGTTGCACTGCATCGCCAGACGGGATAGCCGAGTGTGCGCTTTTCGTCAGCCAAGACGTTGAAGTGCACAGCACGGCGCGAGTCGGTAAAGGGGAAGTCCGTCCCGTAGTGGACGAAGAAATTCCAGAGTCAGGAAGCCTGCGGCGTCCGTCCTTGTGACGTCGGGAAGTATAAAACGGGTTATCCCACCCATCGCACTCGTGGCGATCAACTTGAAATGGCTCACAACATGTCTGGTATCCATCACCCTTTCCCAGACGACCGTGGCGGACCTCGTGGCCCACTGCGACCAGGTCGCCGTCGCATCTGGTCGTGCACAAATTTGCCGACCATGTCCCCAGCGTCCTATCCTCTGGTCGAATATCGATTTGGTTTCGTGATGTTTGAAAGTTCAGCGAACAGCCCGGTGTGGTCCATGCCGTGAAGAAATACTGGAAAGGGGATGCTGGACGCCATCTCATGCATCTCTGAGAGTGCAAAAGGCACCACGTGGCGCCGTTTTGGT